ACCATGCATTACTCAAAGTCTAATTATGCTTTCGGAATAAATTAAAACGCCTTTTATTGAAAGTTGTTTGAGCTTTGAACACAGTTTAATTCAGTTTGATGAATTTGCTTAATGTAACTTTTACGAAATCCCACAAAGACAGGCCTTTTTGTAGTCTTTTGAAGGTAATTATACAAAACTCGTAATAAAATTTTTAAAAAATGAAAATGAAAAAAAACTTTTTAGAGAACAAGAAAATGTAATAATTTTAAGAAAGGTAGCTTAAGTTATACCCGACAAAACGGTATACCTTTAAATGTAAACTAGCATCGAAATCGGTTCAACCGATCAAGATATTATCCCGCACAGACAGACAAATAGCAAAAAAGAATTGAATCAAGATTTCATATCATATAAATAAACATACATTTTACAGTGACAGTTAATTTAATATACCAGACAGGCACTCCCAAATATCTACTTATGTAGAAGAAGATCCATACTAAATATAAGACATTTTAACCAATTTTACGATGTGTATCTTGGTTGTGTAATGTGTTTAATATCTCAATCTTGCTATCCCTCCAGCGTCTGTACTACATATCTTCCTACTTAATGTTTTCAAATGAATCTTCTCCTTATTATGTCTCTTTTTCTATACAGATTAAAATTCTGTCTCATTTTCTTTATCCTAATGACAGAAAACACTTTTTTTTCAGAATCCGGTTTGTTGAAATTGCGAAGCATTCCCGCGCTGAACTTCTCAGCTTGGGCAGAATCAGCTTGAGCGCCTCGGTTGCTAATGAGGCCTTTCTACATTGGGTTTCCGAACACGTTGAAACCATACCATCAAAAACAGTACATTGCACGAGCTCTTCGCAGTATGTTTGACTTTATGTTCAAGTGTTATCTTGTTTTGAGAAAGTAAACGTGATATATAATTCTATTTGTAAACCTCCTTTCCATTGGAACTGAGGTATACGAATGATTTGTAAAATTTTGTAAATAAATTTACTTTATCACACACAAAAGGAGATTATGTAAATAATACTGAATATATAGTTCAATTAGCACGTTACAAAACTCGTAACATTCTTGTTATAAAAGAAACAAATAAACTTACTTTTAATATACTGATGTTTCAATTAAATTCTAGTACACCTATGTCATACACACAACATTCTTGGGAAGATTTACAGAAAGTAAAATATATGAGTTACATAGAGGTGTCCGATGTCTAACAGCTGTTTAAGACGAGCTGAATCATTGGTCAGACTGTATTAGGCCCTTAATTTAAATAAAGAAGATAATTATAACTTCTTCACATTAATGGTACATGCGATACATAACAGTATCGTTTCGGAAATTAATTACTTCTATCTTCAGGCAATGTCAGAAACAATGTTTTTGCAGTATAATGCAGTTATAATAATTTTCTGTCTAAATTAAGGGCCCAATACAGTCTGACTAATTTCTAAATGACCTTGGACAAACCGTACACAATACTCTTAAAACGCAATGATCGTTGTCATTTAATGGCATTCTAACACAATGCATTTCAATAAAAATATATTGAAATAAAGTAATTCAAAACACAGAATTTACACAATTCTCTAGAGGAAAAGACAAAATAAAGTGATAAGTTAATTTGAAAAGATGGGAGTTCAGTCCACATTCAGCATTTTTACCCTTTAACTTCAAAAGAAATTGATGGATAAAAAACGAGGTAGTAGAATGTAATACATTCAGCTAATCGTGAAAGGTTCTCGATTGCTTCTACCGTTCAATCATGAAGAAGAAATGAAGAACGCAGATGAAAATACTACGAGTTAGAGTTCAACTCAAATATGACATAATTATACAAGTTCGTCATCAGTTTTACCCACTACACCCGTTCACTCTCATGTATTATTAATGTTTTTAGATAAATTTATAGTAAAATAAAAAAATCGCCCATTCAATCGGGAAAATTTTGTGAAAACTTGAGTTTTATGATCATTACTTCCATTCAATTTCGCCCGTGTATTAGAGATTCATCATACCTCTTCTTTCCTCATTCAATACTCCGTAAGAAATAAATTTTCGGTAATTAGAGTTTTTAGAGGAAAGATCAGTATGAAATTGACGAAATTCATTACATTTACTGGTTTGAACAACCAGATTCAGTAATGACACGAACGCATTTTGCACAACTATCATACAACTTCTTGCCCTATGTTAAGTTTACGACAGTCGAATAACACTGAGTTACTAATATTTGACGTATAAAAATCTAATCAATCTTTACATTTTCCTGTTTATTTATGAATTATTGATGTAAAAATAAATATTTTTAAAGTAATAAACACGGATAATATTCAAATAAAATGTTTTCCTAGTGCAATTTAAAACGTAGCTGGTGTATCGGTTATTGCTTTCCTACAGCACTTAATAATTGTCTTTATTTATTCATAAGCTTCTGATTTAAGTCCTTCCGAAATGAAACACTTTTCCGTGTTGAAAATTCCCTACGAAGTCAGATACATTAAAACACGAGTAAGACGTAACTACATAGGAGGTACTAATGCTACTTGTAACTAGTTCTGTTAACTGGCTCCTTGAGTTACTACAAATACTTTAAATTCTGTGATACCTACAGTGTTCCGAATAAAATGTTGTGATACGTACGATGTTACGAATGCACTCTTATTTCCGTGTTCAATCAGACTAAGAGTACCCCAATGCATTAATACCCTCGAACTACGTATTACTCGAAAATACAGATGCAGATACCTTGTTTTCAAAATTGTTCTCAAAATTAACGAAAAAGTTATTTGGGGGCGCTTGGTAACGGTGCCTAAAATGCAAATCTATCCGACTCCAACAGTACTAAGATCGAGCAATCCGTGCTATATCTAAAGTGCACAAAGAGCGTTTGCGAATTGTTTGCTCGAGATTTAACCTTTTCCTTGCCAATAATTTGTCAATAATAATTAACATTTCATCATTATCATCAACACTACAAATGCCTATGAAACTTCCGAATGAATGTGATATGATGAAAGAGATCAATCTGATGTTGGGATCAGTTACGCACGAAGTGCTTTCATCAAAATAATAGGTGCAATTACACAGCCTCAAATGCAAGCATCCAATGCGCTACGTTTGGCGAGTACGCCGCCAGTTGACCTTCCTTTCATCAACGATTTTGGAGGTCATGACGGAGGAACGGAGTAGTGATGTAGTTGAACTTTACCCGTACCAACATGTTAAAATTTTCGGAGTAATGTTATATTGCAATATAGATAGTAGATTGTAGTATAGTAAAATATAACTTAAACAGAGTTTACCTTGTATAAATTACCTAATTGTGAAAGTACCTGTATATATGAAACTTGTATAAAACGTCTACTACCATGATAAAAATACTAAAAGAATGATTTAGCAACGCATAATATGCTATCGACATCAAGAAAATGTTTATTACATTTTCTCTTGAATTCACCTTCCGAAAAATTTGAATAAAACAATTATATGAGACGAATGTGATAATTTAAATATAAAAAAAGCAAGGCTTTAAATTTTTCACATATTGTTGTAGTCGTACTCAGAACGGAGAAAAAATGCTTTAATTATGATAATCGGTCTACTTTAAGATTTTCGATTTCCCTTCTCAAAGGATAACAGTCCTTAAAGTGGACATGTCCTTGCACACCAAGGAATTTCAAAAGTTGGTATTATCTATATTTGCAGTCGACTAGAGTCAATGAAATAAAAATTAAGGACAAAATATTATTCCACGTAACTAATATGTGTATTCTTAGGTTTTAACCTATTTTGTTTGTCACTTCGTGAAGTCATTATTTTATTGTACATATCCGTTTTCATGTTTTCTTAACCAAATGCATGAATCCTGTAGATCATCAAAAACCGTTAAAATGTCATATTATCCTAAAAGAGACTACATCATGGGTTTCTAAAAATAATTACACGAAGTTGGCTTAAGATGGTATTTAATTTTTTGGATTGTTGAGAATATTTTGGCGACTTTAACGCAGAATTTAACTTGTTTTACTTTCCAGCTACTATTGAAGAATTAGAAAGTGCGTGACTCCCTCTAAGCGAAGTTACGCACGATGAAGATTACTGACGCTGTTACAAGGAGGGAAGTACGAGGGATTGATATGTTTCGTCTAAGCTCTCGAAAATTCAAACCAATCTTAATTACGCAATGATGGAAGACATTATTGAATTGAATTGATATTTGCCTTATTTTTACGTGGCGAGACTCGGGCCATCAGGCCCGCTCTTCCGTCTGACCACGCAATTTTGCTACGCTCCTTCCAGGAGAGAAAGGAGGTACATCTTGGGCGAGAAACAGGCGATTTTGATTAGCTCAGAGGCGTCTTTAGGCTTGAGGATCTTTTACATGCAAGTAATCTACTAACATGGACAGCCGGCTTTACTTCCCTCCGAAGGAAGGCGTACGAGGATTTTTTCGCCCTTAAAAAATCCACGGCTTCGATCGGGTAAAATGAACCCGCCAACATGGGTACAACAGTCCAGTACGCTAACCGTTACACCATCGCCGCCATATTGCAGATATTCTCCGCATGACGAAATATCTTGGGAGAACCTCGATGACAGAGCAGTGGCCTCTACAAAAACGTATTTCAAGAGGCGTTGAACAAACTTTTTCTTGTAACAAGAGTGTGCTTCATACGTGGAGAGATTAGACATCCTGGAAGTCCTTCGACTAAGATATTTTGGGATTGTGCATCCATTGCAACAGTGTAACTTTAAAAAGTTTGGTTTGTATGCTCATTTTCATGGAATTACTTAAAAAGTTGCATTAAAAAATATATACGTTTCTTTAGAATATTTTGTTCCTTCAAGTTCAGGAGAAAAACTTTAAATGAGTATTTAAATTCGAGATTTATTACACAATGTTATTGTTCAGATCCAAAATCTAAAATGGGCTATATTGTGTTTTCCGAAAGCCTTAAATGACATCCTAAAAACCTGGGCCCTATTCATCCAAGGTTCATCATGATTGGCGATCTAACGTTTTCAAAAGTTCAAGTCCAGAATGTGGAGTACAAGTGGAACCAATAGAAAGTCAGCCCTCGCAGGAAGACCACAGGACGGAAAAGAAGTCCTCGTTGCTCAGTGATTCGGTCACTCTTCTGGTTGGTGGCTCAAAAGCAACGAGGAAGTTGTGAAAAACGGTACCCCAAAAGAAACCCCGTCTGTGTCCTCGCTGTGACGATGCCATTCTAAGAGTAAGCTTATGTCTGTAGCAGCAATAGTGAGAACCATGAAGAGCCGCTCAATAGAGAAAGAACACAAACACATTTTGGTTACTTCAAAGGCGGCTCACCGAACCGATAACTCACATTACGTACAGACTATTATACACGTAGTTCGAATAGATGGCATTTGAACTTTAGTCTTTCTTCTTAAAACAAAATCTCGTCATCTCTTTTAAAGCTTTGGAATTTTTATCTTCAAAAATATACAAAAAGTAAATAAAATATAGAAGTTGTCAAATAACATTAATAAATTAAATCAATTTAGGTTTTTCCTCTTTTTCTTAAGCAAACAAAATATCAGTCAAAATTTCAATTGACATTTTTTTGAGGATCCACATATTCAGGCAGATCCAATTTTTCGAATCTTTCCAATGACGATTTTTTCTTTTTGAATAAATTACCATAATGATAGAGAACGTCGTATGGGCAACCCAATATTTGAGTAGGAATCACTGAAATCTACTGCAAAAAAATTGGGCACTCCTCTCTTTCTCGTGCGTAAATCACCTGTTTCGCGCCCTTGTTACGTAAATCTTATTACAAATCTTCACTCTACGGCATTTACTCAGTGCATTCGACAAACTTAATTTTCGCTATTTATATTCCCATTCATACTTGTGTGCCTTTAGGTCGATTGTCGTTTAAAAGTTCACAGCATGTGCTAGTCATCTTAATCCCCGACGCCAGCAAACGATAGGGGGCCGGGAATCTTCTAGAAATCCAGCCTCGCCGAGAACTTCTGAACCTGCTATAACACCGAACTTTCAAACTCATAACCAGGGAACGGAATTTATTTTAATAAAAAGCAAATATATAAAAAGCAAGTGTATTTCCACGTTTTCAAAAATAAAAATCCGATCTGTCCTCAAAATACAGAAATGTAGCGATTGGATGAAGGTTCAACATCCACAGAAATAATAGGAGCGTCCTTGAAGACTGATACGGCTCAGTTTCTACTACCAGTATTGCCCGTGGTGCGTTTCATCCGCTGAGAACGTTGGCGATTCCGAGTTCCTACGATATTATTTAATTGTCTTCAAAAATTTTCTTTGCGCTTTCAAAAATACTCTTAATAGTCTATATCAAATAAACGACGTAAGGAAATTAATATCTAACAGTTTATTTTTACTGCCTCGCTTCGGAATAGAGAAAAAAATATGTAATGCTGCACGAAAAAACTGAATATTGGGCAGAAAAACTTACTACAGAGTCCTGGTAACAAAAAAGTGGATAAATCCAGTTGCAAAATTTAAAAAAAATCCCCTAGACATGGTATAGCCTGAATCCATAATTTGTGGGTCTTTATTAACGAAAACCTTATTAGCGATCTAATGACGGCAAAACGTCTGTCTGGCTTCAGTCTGTCAACAATGGTCAAACCGTTCAGTCTATTTTCTTCGAAACTGATATTCCCTTATCGATGTGGCTGATTCCGTGGCCTCTTGAATTTAAAACCGAAATTTTAATTTTAGGCGGTACTCTACATGAAGCCCCTGGTACATTTTCCCAATTTTCAAAAGAATTCTCCGAAGTTTCTCGTTAAAATTTGTTTTTGCATAGTGTGAAGGACTGAAGAGATCGGTGCAGGTCGTATTTTTGTTGAAAGCCCTCATTTTTCGAAAATTGCAATAGTTCAAAAATTTTCGGAGACTTTCTTCAACTAAGATATTAAAAATGGTTTTTTTCTCTTAATGAAATTTGTTCCTTAAAGATAGATTTTGAAATTATATACACTTATTATTTGAAGTCATTTACAAATTTTCGAAAATTTGAATAATTTTCGCGTAATTTTGCGTGAAAATACGGACGAGAAAGTACGTGCTGTTTTAGCACTTCTAGTTTATTTGTTTATTCTTGCTTGGCCTGTGGCTCGCTGCAGCCGTGAACGACTGATTGGTTGATTTATAAAGAGAAGGTTTACATTATTATTGTGAATATTTCATTTCAGGAGCACATTATATTGTACGAAAAAGCTAATTGTGTCCACTCTGCTTTCGGAGTATTAAACGTCAAAAAAGTCCCTAAGAATTATTTTCAAACTTATCCAATGAGAGTTCTGTGTTCAGAGATTGAAGTGGGAACCTTTTGTGGATAGAAGAGAGAAATGTACTGTGATGGGTGATACCGAATTCTTGATGAGCTGGAATAAACCTGGGTGCTCTTGTAATTATTCTTAGGGATTTATTTGGAAGGATTGGATTTTTAGAGTATTTATTTTGGGTGCAAAGTGGAAATGAATGTTTTTATCATGAATTGGCAAAAATGGAGGATGTGTGCAATTGAAGTGAGGATGATTTCTTGAGTAGAGGATATAACTTTTGTTCTTCCAGTGGCCAGTTGTATTATGGGCACGGTATTTGTTCTCCATGTGAGTCGTCAGTCGAATAATACTCAGGTATTTGGCCGTGACGTTAACGGGAATCCATGCTACGAGTATGGTGTGGTTTTCATAGGCGAGTGTGGGCGGGTCGAGGGGTCTAAGAGTGAAAATTTTTCCTTGACTCTTGCTTGTGTTCATATATAAATATACAATGTTTGTACCCAATCGAAAAAATGCTTGAGATGATTTTGAAGATCTATTGCCGTTTCTAGGTCTTGGTTTGTGGAGTAGATTGCTGGGTCATATGCCAAGGAGGGAATGGATGATTATGGTAAGATGTGTATGTAGAAAGGCGATGGCAATATAGATAGTGAATAGGGTTGGAGAGAGTCTCAAACCCTATGTAACTCCTGCTTTGATGAGATATGATGTTGAGAGAGCACCGGGAAGACGCACCGAAAATGTACATTCCCTACGGAAAAACTTATGCGTGTGAGGTGCTGGAGTGTGTCAATGATCGGGTGCTAGAATGTCGGTCCTGGGAGTCACACGTAATCAAACCATTTTTCGATGTCAAAGTGTACTGCTGCTACAAGTCGAATCGTTTCTGTTACTCTATTCAGAGCACATTATACGCGGGTAAGACTAGTAATATTTTGGTTTGAACACCTTTAATGCAGTAGCCGTATAAGACGCTGCATCAACAATACGTTTTCATTAATTATGCCGCTAGACCAAAGTAGATTCATCAAGTCGTTGAAAAATCTAGCAATTGTAGCTTTGTTGCATTTTTCTAAAACTCCACAATTCAATAGAAGTGGTGACGTTGGAGATTCATGGCACATCATTTCTATAATAATATTTGCAATATTATTAATTTCAATGTCAGCAATTTTATCAATTGAAATTGAGACCTCACTATTTTTTGTCTCGTATTTCAATATTAGAATATTAATTCCTTTTTTGAGAGTGCTTTCAGATGTTTTTGTTAGAGTGAATTTCTGTAAGAAACTAAATTAGGATCTCTTTTGTGAATGGAAATATTGGCTCTTACCTAATGCACAGTACAAATCTGTAAAACATGCTCACTTACTTGATTGAACGTCAGGTGACGAGGATAAAGTGTTTGTTGAATCTTCATTTCCTTTTTTTCTTTTCCCTACTTTTGCTGTTGCTACATACTGCTTGACTTTAAACTACTGATGTTGAAATTTTTTTGCCACAAAACAATTGATACCATATATTCGAGTCACTTCCGAACGTTTCATTGGGAAACGGGAATTGCGAAATGTATCTCGCCATTAATCCTTTCGATGTGGCTGCGGTTTTTGGCATTGCACCAACTCGCACCAGTCCACACTAACCCCAGCAATTTATCCCAGGACAATAGTCCATCCCCACTCTTGAGAGTTTGATACAAAGCGTAAAATAATAGAAGAATAGACAGTGTGGATTACGAGCAGCCAGGGTGTACGTAACTGAGTGCTAATACTGGAAAGTTTCAAATTTCAAATCCCTGCTACAGATAGGTTTCTTGAGGAGAATTCAGGATCTGACTAGCGGCCGGCTGTTCTGAACAATTTCCGTGGGTTCTCCGAGGTTCTTCCTCAATACCAGGGCAATGCCGGAGCAGAAACCTGGTAGATCGCGCACTTCTCTCCCTTCCCCTTCCTTGTCCTATCATCCCTTACCGACACTCACATGCACTGCACTACCAAACATGTCGGGAGACCAGCCTGGGGCTTAGAGATTATGCGGTTTCCCGCTAGTGGGAGATACCTGGATGGGGAAACCCCGCAAGCCGCCGTGTAGGCCAGCGCAGGGTCTTACCATCAGTGTGGGAAGAACATTGCCAACTCCCGTGATTAAAAGATGCACTTCATCCATAGGGGCTAATTACCATAGCGGTTGACACTCACAGAAGCTAGAAATAATCAATCAATGCGTTTCGTTCCCACACGTAAATATTATATGTTACATAAAACACACACTATGTGTGTGTGTGTATATATATATATATATATATATATATATATATATATAATGTAATTGATAAAATATGCAATTATACAAACATACGTGAAATAAAAGTTATTTCAATTAATTCAGAATGCGTAGCAAACTCTAGAAAAAAATGTTAACAGTATTATTAAATATTTTCTCAATACGTGTATCTCTCCATTGAATGGCGAGTTTCAGAAGAGTATAAATCGCGTTGTGTCATGGCAAATCGCGCTCTTTGTGATTAAGAGAAAGCACACCAAATTCGTCGCTCTATGTTGACTCCGTATTGTAAAGTAACTTTTCTTTCGCTCTCGTTCAATCTAAGATCTTTGTTTCTTTGCCCCAGTAGGTAAGCAAGCCCTCTGCAGAACATTCTGTGTCCAGAGTGTTACAGAACTGCTTACAATCAGTAAACGCGAGAGCTGCTACCCACCGTTTCTCAAACATACGCCCGCAACCACAGGAACCACACAAAACATTCTATACACAAAACTGGTTAGCTTTATATTTTCCTTTTCATCGCCTCACACTGGCTTTCGCTCCATCGAAGTTACTTGAAACCGAGACTAGCATGCAGCAAGCTGCT